AGTAGTAGTAGTAGTAGCAGTAGTAGTAGTAATATGTGTGGTTTTGTGTAGAAAAACCTGGATATGAACATGAGGGATGCCGTAGGGGAGGTCTCCGCAAATTTTGACCATGTGGCATTCTTTAATGTGCACTGACATCGCGCAGTACATGGGCATTTACTTTTTCGCCTCCATCTAGATGTGACCGCCGCGACCACAATCGAATCCGCAGCATTCTGGTCAGCAGCGCAGAACCCCGTAGCGACTGGTCCACTAAGGCGGACGAGAAATGAGGGCTGATTAGTTAATAGCGCCTCGAGGCTATTCAAAACGAAAATAAAAATAATAATGAGCTGAAATTTTATTTGCGTGTTTTATAATTTTTTTCAGCTTTCTTTCATTACACTGATTCTGAAAGGGCCGTGCAAAGACACAGAGAAAAGAAAAACATAGAGACAAAGAGCGGCGTCTTTCTTTTCCCTTTGTCTTTGCGCTTCCTTTTCAAAATGGTATGAAGCAGCCAGCCCAAACCAAAGTACTCCTCATTCATGCTACACAACAGAACAGACAAAGTGCACCGTTTAAAATGCAGGATATAATTAGGAGACTGGACCTTTTTCATCTGTTTTAAGATATATTTAGCGTTTAACGAATTTCTGATGAAGAGCGTATGGTATGCGACGTCAGCCCACCAATTTTAGCGTAAAGTAGCGGCGTTCCTTGCTGTACGTCACTCCGTAGATATAGAGCCGCACGCCCTCGAAAAAGGCAAGGCGTTCATTAGAAATTCAGCGTTTTTTCACGCCATGTAATTTTGCAAACCTTAACATAAATGATCGGGAGTGCTTAGTGCACCATTACGCTTGTCACCTCGAAATGTCCAAATCTAGTAAGGGGCCCTTCAATGTGTTCACCGATAGGGAAGAAGCTGGTCCTACGCGATTCGACCTAGCATCCCCCTCTTCTAGGGTATCAGTGGCCTGGTTATTTGCCCCAGTGCTGCCGTTCCCAGCCACAACAACACTAAACAGACCCGGGAGAATGTTAATTCAGTGGTGAACTTGACGCACAATGCGAGACAATAAAACGAGAGACCACATACTGTGACTCGCCCGTGAAATGCATGCCTGTGTTCAAGCATTGGTACCGCTCTGCAGTCTTAAACAATATCATTTTTTCCTGCTTCTTGCCTTCGATACAAGTCACCGACGTCGTTGTATTGGGGTATTTCGAATTTGTAGAAGTTTATTGTCCCTATAATTCTGATTTTGACGGCATAAAACAGTGTTTTACCTGCCTGACTTTGGTGCCTAAAAGACACTTTTTAGTGTCTACAAATCCGGCATCTATTCATTACACTTGTGTGCGAATCACCACAAGCTTCCAAAATCAAGTGGGTCATCTGAGAGAAGCTGGCTATCCGGATTCGCTTCTTGTTTCTTTGGAAGAAAGCATAAAAAAGGAAGAAAAAGCTCAGGAGTGGAGACAGTGCTAATCAAAAGGGCAAAGGCAAGCGCGAAATGTTGCGGTGATCCTTTACATGTGTGGCGAGAGAGAGAGAGAGACGCTCGATGGTGTCGTGAAGGTGGTCGATGGGCATGCTGAATTTCGCCACTTTATTGCTCAGGTCGCAGCTCAGCGGCGGTGGCTGCCAGCGTCTGACGCGCCCTGCGCGTGATCCCATTCTCTTCGAGCAGCAGCTATAGGCATGCGCTGGGTGCGCTGCGCGAGAGGCGCGTTGCTGTGGCTAAGAAAATGGTGATGATGATGGAGGCGCTACACAAGCACCAGATATCACACCTAATAAAAAAGGTCACACAACGCATGGGTGCGCAGGCTGTTTTTTAAATGCGAAGCATTTCTTAGTGAACTTCGGCGACTTTGAGCGTATCTATCTATCTAGGACATTTATCTAGCCTAGGACTTTTAGCTCTCCTGGCCGTTTGGATAACGGTATCAATATCAAACTTCGTTTGGCATAACATTGCTCTATGCCCCACCTCGGTGGCCTAGTGGCTAAGGTACTCGGCTGCTGACCCGCAGGTCACGGGTTCAAATCTCGGCTGTGGCGGCTGCATTTCCAATGGAGGTGGAAATGTTGTAGGCCCGTGTGCTCAGATTTGGGTGCACGTTAAAAAAACCCAGGTGGTCAAAATTTTCGGAGCCCTCCACTACGGCGTCTCTCATTATCATATGGTGGTTTTGGGACGTTATACCCCACATATCAACAATTAACATTACTCTATGACAAGCATATTTGTCTAGTCATAACATAAAAATCATGACATGTATGTCATGAATCTCATAAATATACAATCCATGGTCTTGCTGCTCTTGCGGTGGTTTCATTCAAATGACATGTTGGAAAACTGGTATGGTATAACATGATTGTATGGCGGACACAAGCGACAAACTCTAACATGAAAATCATGACATGCGTGTCATGTAACAACATGACTACATGTCACGCTCATGGTGCGCTGTCGGCTATTTCGCTAGCGCCACATTCACCAAATTTATTATTACGGTACGTGAATGAATCCCCAATGCATGTGACCAGAGCAAACATGATAATCATGAGGTGGGTGTCATGTAACATGACCGCACTCCACACTCATGATGCACTGGTGGCCGTTTAACTAGCTTCACTTATACAAAGTTTGGTATTATTGGACGTGAATGGATGACGTAAGTATGAGACTTGTGCAAACACAATAAAAATGAGATGTGTGTCATGTTACAACATGACTACATGAAACGCTCATGATGCGCTCACGGCCGTCTCGCTAGCTTCAAATATACCAAATTCGGTATTACGTGACGCGAACGGACGGCGCAGGCAAAGGACACATCCAAACATGATAATCATGACATCTCATGTAACATGACTACATGCCACACTGATGATGCGCTCACAGCTGTTTCGCTAGCTTCACATATGCCAAATTTGGTATTACGTGACGTCAATTGATGACGAACGTATGTGACTGGTACAAGCATGATAATCAGGAGATGCGTGTCGTGTGAGAACATGACTAAAGGTCAGAGTCAAGGCGCGGATACATTTCGACGTGACGCGGTGCGCGTGCTCGCCGGCGTTGCCTTGCCAGGCACCGGGGCTCCCGTATACTCGCAGGCGCTCGCTGCGTCGCTTTGACGCATGCGCGTTTCCGAGAAATCGGCGTCCATCCGTCTCAAAAAAGCAGACGCCGAGCTGTCTGAGTAATGCATTGTAGCCAAATGCAGCATGTCGTGCCGGTTGCCGTCGGGCCGCACCGGTCGCGCTTGGCGTCCGACTATAGAGTGCTCGTGGTTTGCTAACGTAGCAAAACGTAGTATATTGCGCCATTAAATATGCACTCGAGGCTGTTTCGCTAGCTCCACATAAGCCAAATTTGGCGTTACACGACGTCAATGGATGACGAAGGTATATGCCTGGTGCAAACATGATAATCATCACGCGTGTCATGTAAGAAGATGACAACATACCACGCTCATAGCGTGCTCGCAGCCGCTTTGGTAGCTCCCATATACTAAATTTGGCCTCACGTGAGGTGAATAGATGACCAAGGTAAACGGCACTTCAAACATGATAATCATAACACGAAAGTCGTGTATGGCATAATTTACCTCCAGCTCGTAACGCTGTGGTGATTCGAAAGTGGCATTTACACCTTGATTGATTGATTGATACGTGGGGTTTAATGTATAAAACCACCACATGATTATGAGAGACGCCGTATTGGAGGGCTTTAGAAGTTTGACCACCTGGGGTTCTTTAATGTGCACCCAAATCTGAGCACACGGGCCTACAACATTTCCGCCTCCATCTGAAATGCAGCCGCCAAAGTTGGGATTCGAGCCCGCGACCTGCGGGTCAGCAGCCGAGTACCTTAGCCACTAGACCACCGCGGTGGGGCGGTATATCAACCTTACTCATTCGTGCTTCGTATATTATCGATTCGCACTGTACGTGGGATCTGCCAATTTTTTTCTGCACCTCACAAACCTTCTCTGCTTGCCAAGCTGGCATGTGGAAGCAGTAATCCTAAATTCTCCTGCAATGTCAGGCACAAATCCTAGTTTGTGCGATGCGACACAATTGTAGTATACAAATTTCGCTATCATGTGGTGTGTGCTACATTGGGCAGAGTGGCAGGCACCTCAGTGAGGGCCTGCGTGAGCACGCACGGAAGGTACGCAATGGAAATACACCATGAGCACCCATGGTGTCTATGTGTTTATTTTTCTTTGTGTGGTTGTTCATACGGTGTGACGTTGAGTGTGTAGTCATGACCCACTCGCGTGAATATTTAAGCAGAAAAAATGACACGGGAACGGGGCGACAGCGTGATAAAACTATCAGTTGCCTTCCTAAATAAAGAGCTGCAATATCTGGCAAATGGCGCTTGTGTGCAATGATTCAGATATTCTGCCTTAGGCTTCGGGTGTATGAAATTTGTAGTTTGTAGAAATGATAACTTTTGTTTCTCTCTTTTTTTCCTTTTTGTCATATATAAATGCAGTGCGTGATAAATAAACCTTCAGTTGATACACTCCACTTGTTCTTGTCTTTTCCCATCCTTGTTTTTTACCGCGCACTCTACTTGGTCACGTATCACCATCTGGCCAATTCGTGCATTTCTTATATAAACACTCGTAGTTTAGAAGCCCAACACGTTAGACTAGAACGCCATTGCCACCTGAAGCATGACAAATGCCGCCGTAACGTGGGCAAAGATGCTGCACAGAGAAGCGCACTTGCGAATTCTGAAAAGGGTCTTTTACGTGACCGCGCACAACGTGCTGTCGGGACGAATAGTTGCGGTGAGTGATGACATCCGGAATTCTCGCTGTCTTTTCACAGACCTTTTTTTTATGTGCAAACCGCTGCAATCTGACATGTGGCAAAAATGAATTAGAGTGTTCTAATGGCTTACTTGTACTCAGACTAATTTTTGGTGTCAATTGAAAGGGCAGTATTCGAACTTGCGAGTCAGTGTATGTATATTTTCTCGTAGGGTGACAGTGGCGGTCCGTTGTTCTGTTCCAAGCATGGCACCAGTTGGACGGTACAAGGTGTCGCTAACACAATCCTGAAGTCTACTGATTCAGGAACACTGTGTGGAGTCGGCAGTGATTCCTTCTGGAGCCGAGTCAGCACCCACCTAGCCTGGATACACCATACCATTCGCGTCATGTAGTGCTTTCGCCAGGCTCTCGCAGCGTACGCTGTCTGCCAATGTCTGACATTCTCACGAAGGGGCAATGAACTTTCGTTTAGCAGAAAGTGATGAAAAATAAACAGTTGCAGAAACGCTGTTTCTCGAGCACTGTACTGGCTTGTTCTATCACCATATTTCTTTTTAGCACTACCACCTGCTGTTTGTCTAAAGCAAAGAGTTCATGAGAAAATGGAGTCCTCAAGCGATCGATGAGAAACTTCTGAGCACATAACGTCGTTTTAGAGTCATTTCGACAAGCAGAGTAGCAGCTGCCATCCTGAGGGTAGCAGCTGCCAATCAGGGTAGCAGCTGCCATCATGAGCAGCAGACTGACCGCAACTTACTGAGTGAATTTTTATGAAAGCGAACATGGTGATGGTGGCCTCTGTGCTCTGGCGGCTGCCGGCAGCGCGTTCCAGCGTCATTTCGGGGCGAGCAAAACAACCAGTCATAGCTGATATCAAACGGCAAGATTGCAACCACTCCCCCTTCAAGGCGGTAACTGACTCTCACGTAATCGCCTCGAAGGTGGGGGAGGGGGGGTGTCGCAATCTTGCCACTGGTTCCATATCAGCAATGAATGGTTGTTTTTTTCGCCGCGAGATGACGTGAAAAGAGACTGTGGTTGCTATCACTTCCGCTTGAACGCGCTGCTAGCAGCCGCTGGGGCACGCAGGCCACGCGTTCACCATCATCATCAGCCTGACTACGTCCACTGCAGGACAAAGGCCTCTCCCATGTTCCGCCAGTTAACCCGGTCCTGTGCTTGCTGCTGCCAATTTATACCCGCAAACTTCTTAATCTCATCTGCCCACCTAACTTTCTGTCTCCCCCTAACCCGCTTCCCTTCTCTGGGAATCCAGTTAGTTACCCTTAATGACCAGCGGTTATCCTGTCTACGCGCTACATGCCTGGCCCATGTCCATTTCCTCTTCTTTATTTCAACTATGATATCCTTAACCCCCGTTTGTCCCCTAATCCACTCTGCTCTCTTCTTGTCTCTTAAGGTTACACCTACCATTTTTCTTTCCATTGCTCGCTGCGTCGTCCTCAATTTAAGCTGAACCCTCTTTGTAAGTCTCCAGCTTTCTGCTCCGTAGCTAAGTACCGGCAAGATACAGCTGTTATATACCTTCCTCTTGAGGGATAGTGGCAATCTAACTGTCATAATTTGAGAGTGCTTGCCGAATGTGCTCCACCCCATTCTAATTCTTCTAGTAACTTCAATCTCGTGGTTAGGCTCTGCGGTTATTACCTGCCCTAAGTAGACATAGTCTTTTACAACTTCAAGTGCGCTATTACCTATCTCGAAGCGCTGCTTCTTTCCGAGGTTGTTGTACATTACTTTCGTTTCCTGCAGATTAATTTTAACACCCACCTTTCTGCTCTCCTTGTCTAACTCCGTAATCATGAGTTGAAATTCGTCCCCTGAGTTACTCAGCAATGCAATGTCATCGCCGAAGCGCAAGTTGCTAAGGTATTCTCCATTAACTCTTATCCCTAACTGTTCCCATTCTAGGCTTCTGAAAACCTCTTGTAAGCACGCGGTAAATAGCATTGGGGAGATTGTGTCCCCCTGCCTTACACCCTTCTTGATTGGTATTCTGTTGCTTTCTTTATGAAGCACTATGGTAGCAGTTGATCCCCTGTAGATTTCTTCCAGAATGTTTATATATACTTCATCTACGCCCTGATTCCGCAGTGTCTGCATGACGGCTGATATTTCTACTGAATCAAACGCCTTCCCGTAATCTATGAAGGCTATGTATAGTTACCATGCCACGCGTTACCATGTTCCTTATCATAAAAATTGACACTGTATATTCTTAGAGCGAGTAAAACCACCCAATCCTCAAACCAAGCAAGAAAAAAAGTAAAAGTAAAAAAAAGAGAAAACAATCAGCTCAAAAGAGCGACGATAGTTATAGCGCGAGAACAGAATGACGACAAAGAGACAAGAAGGAGACTAAGAACAGAATGACGACAAAGAGACAAGAAGGAGACGAGCGCTAGTCTCCTTCTTGTCTCTTGGTCGTCGTTCTGTTTTCGCGCCATAACTATCATCATGTCAAACCAACTAGCTTAAACTGTCACACTTCAAAAGCATTATCGGGAGTTTCGCTAGTTGGCGAATGTTCATCGTGAAACAACTTACAGCGCAACGCAGATGGCAAGCAAAAAAGGACATAAGCGCGGAGCAGCGCTTGTGTCCTTCCTCTCTACTGCACTTTTCTATGTCGCGCAAGCAGCTAATGGGGAGTTTTTATTGCGTTATCCGGCGTTGTGGGCGTTACGTTTGCGCATCTCTACTGGAACGTTCCGTATGTACGGCATCCGCACATACGGAATTATTAGAATACGGAAGCCGTATACTTGGAAATACCATGTGGCAATCTCATATAAGGGAAGCCGAATAATTCGAAAAGGACACATATAAAGAAAGCCATATGATTCGGAAATGTCCGCACATAAGCAAAGCCATATTCATTAGGTGGAAATAAATTGGACGTCCGAATTTAATGGGAATCACTAGTATGTATAGATTGAATGGATGCCCACATCTTGTGTAGATGCGATACTGTGTACAAATTGTCTTCATGGCTCTTAAAGATGCATGATGAGGGAATAAAATATTTGTATCTTTGCAAAAGCCATGATGCGTGAGCAAAATAAGCTTTTAAGAAAAATATGTGAAGAAGGTACTGAACATGCTAGGCATCATAAGTCGTGGTTACATTGCAACCAAATAATGCAGTGTTTTATGCAATATACAAAGGAGAACTAAGAAAGTTAGGGATTGCATTAGAAAAGCATTGATAAATATTGGAACCTACGACGCCCCTAGTGATAACGCTAGAATATTTGATTGCAAGGGTATAAATTCCGGCGCGCTACACCGCTTGTCAGTTGATTGAAGGCCGACGCTCTGTTCGCGGCTATCGGTTTCAGTGTTCTGCTGTAATCTGACTTTCTTTTTGCGTGGCCACAAGTTCAGCCCGAAGAAACAGTTAATTCTTGACCTTAAGTCGGTTCCCTTCATGAACGTAACGATGCCGTGACAATATGCACATCGAAAGCAGCTCTGCTACAACGAATATTTTTAAATTCGTCCGTACGCTTAGCGGTGAACAGCCACATCTCAGTGTTGGTAATGCGCAAATGAGGTGACCCTGCACCGAAATTTCACGAGTTGTACCTGAGGCATAGCATGGGAGCCGGAAACATAATGCAACAATAGCAATTTTACAACGAAAACTCTATACTGAAACAATAATCATAGCATTGTAAAAGTGTGGTGTTGCGTTTATTTCTTGAACACCATGTGGAGATTGGCCAAATGCTGCTTGAGGCTCTGGCACTGCTGTGGACACAGCAGGTCATTGCCATGACAATAAATTTTTGAGAACTGCCAGTAAAAGCCCTCAAGTACAATGTCAATTTTTATGAAAGGGAACACGCGAACGCATGGCCCGAGTGCTTTGGCGGCTGCTTGTAGCGCGATTAAGCGGGAGCGATAGCCACCGCAGCCTCTATTGCCTTCATCTAGTGGCGACCAAAAGAACTAGTCATTGGTAATATGGAACGGGGGGAAAGACAGCAGACGCTTCCCCTTCAAGGTGATCCCATGAGAGGATGGCCATAATCGCTTTGAAGGGGAGGCGGCTGCTATCTTGCCGCTAGTTCCATATTACCAATAAGCGGTTGCTTTACTCGTCACTAGATTAAGAGAATAGAGGCTGGGGTGCTTTCAATCGTGCTTGAACGCGCTACAAGCAGCCGCCAGAGTGCTCGGGCTATGCGTTCACATGTTCCCTATGATAAAAGTTCACACTGTACATTTAATAGTGCATACATGTATGTACATTTGCTGCCTAACTTTACTGTTCGTGTGCGAGAATGGAACATGGAACAATTTTGTGACGTGAGACTATGTAATGAAGGTGAAAAATAGCCATGAAAGCAAGCAGGACGTTACAGCTGCCATTACAAATCTCTGTGAGCCAGGCTACTATAGCCCACCCACAAACAAATAGGAGAGCAAAATTAACATAAATGAACTGCCAACAGAAGAGTCAAGTGTATGTGCTATTTGTACTCAGGCAGCAAGGAATTTTGGCGTCATGTTGGAGATAGATCGGCAGTTGCTGGCTTAAGAACGGCTCAGTCTTGACAACGTACCGCCAATATTGGCTGTGCCAGTGGAATAGAATGGCTATGTGGGACCAGCATTGACAACGTTCCGCCAATGATGGTTGTGCCAGTCTAATAGATCGGTTATATTGAGCCAGCTTTAAGAACTTTCCGCCAATATAGGCTGAGCCAGCCTATTAGAATGGACACATTGGACCAAGTTGTACAAGTAGCAGCCAATATGTATGGAGCCATTCAATTAGGCCTGCATTATTGGCACGCCGTTCGAACGTTATTGCTGGCGTCGGCTGAGGAGTCAACATCGTTGGCATAACATTAAAATAGGAGCCAATTTCTGCGTCTGCTGCTTTTTTTGCGCTGTTCAGGCTCCACTTCACGCGCGGATTTTTCAAGTTCAATAAGAGTAAATAAGAGTACAATATGGGAAATATCTTTTGGTCATTAAATCATGCAAAGCTCGTTGATTGCATCATCGTTGGTTGAAGTTTCGTAAGGTAGACTATTTAGGTAAGAAAAATTTACCGATCGAGTTTCTAATCTGTAAGACGTGACGTCCGATGCGGTGCTTTCGTACCACGAAGTTACCGCGAACACCACTATCGTGCGCCTGCGTGTAGACGTCTATAATATCGGACGGAAATCGCATCGTATAGTATGTCCTGCTACCTATCTACGTGACCTATTTGGATCTGTCTCGTACTCACAGCACAGTACGGCACTTGCTGCTGCTTGACGTGTGATAAGAGTGGGTGTTGTCCGTTGCGTTACGGTGACTAAATCATACAACATATGCAGTTGCCGTGATCTTACACACAGACGCGCGTGCACACGCACGCATGCGTTATATACCCGCAACAACCACACAAATTTCCAACAACATCGCAGCGAACGATTCGTAAGGTGTTGCGGAGTGTCGTCGTCGGGCACCCTGTCTGCGCCCAGCTCATTGCGAGCACTAATT